TCTGTAATGGAATACATTTTAAAAGTAACCTTCCCAACACTGCTCATATGTGAAACAGCTTACAATAGAGGTTGTGGTAAACATGAAAGCCGCAAAGCATATGGTAGCATTGTGATCGTAACCATATTCACGTGCATGCTTGTTAGCATTAACGTGCTCTGGTTAAGCACAACCATGCAGAGCTGCTAGTTCATTTTAGTGTTTAAGCAACGTTCTGCTCATTTTTCTTTGTCTTAGATCAAATATTCGACCAGAGAAGGCAACCCACAACTCCCACCATTTTAAGATGCACACGTTTGAAAGGATCACTTCCTGCAGCTTCTGTCATCTTTTGCTTAGGTAAGATTTATTGTCAGGGAGCTCTTTTTACTTTTTTTTTTTTTAAAGATGATTATGTTTTTGGGATGAAGTTCGAACACTCATGTACCTGAAACAGGGTTGCCATGAACTCGAACTACATGAATAGCTCAAAGATAGCAAACCATCATGTGTTATTTCTCTGATAGCTCTCTTAAGATAACTTTCAAATCTTTTTTCCATTGAATGCATAAAGGAACACAATGACCCATTATATATTTTGGCTTTCAGTCACTTTTTCTCAGACACGTCTGGGGAAAAGAAGGTTATTTTGAAACGAGCTTAGTTTAATTGTTAGTAGTATTATTTTATCAAGAGCATGATACTGAACTGAATCTCAGTGTTTGACAGAAATCATCAGTTTTAAAGCTGAATGGTACGTCCTGTACCATTCCTCTTATCTTGAGGGTGTTCGGAGCAAATTCTAAATGTCAGTGTGTTTCTTATAAGGGCGCTGTTGTACATGAAATATATTCTGTGTTGTCTCCAGGGGCATCTTTAACCAGGGTTATCTCTGTCTAAAATGTGGCCTGGGGGCTCATAAAGAGTGTCTGGGTCGACTGGGAGTCTGTGGGAGAACAGGTGAGACAAAAACCTCTCAAACCAATTGTTTTGCTCAATCCCACAATTTGGGTGACCCTTGTTTGAGCATCACCATCATGCCACAGTTTTGATTAAAAACACACAAAATATAAAGATCTAAAACGCAAATATCCATGAAGTCTACTGAGCACATTTATGCTCCTTAGAGAAAGTCCTTTTAACAGTTTGGTCACTGTTTTGATTTTTTTTCTGGTATAAAACACTCGTAGCAGATTTGCAACTGTATAGAAAATTTCTGCTATGAAATTAGTTGTGATTATATATATATATATTACGTCCACAACAGAGTATACAGCCATGTGGATTTTCACAGTCATGTGAAAAATCTAAGTACACCTAAACTGCTGCTATAAGAATTAAGAGAGAAAGTAGAAGCTAGTTGCTGCTAATCAAAGGAATTTAATGAACTCATCATCTTTGTCTTAACACAATGCCACAATCTTCTCAGGAGTGGCAAATTCAAGGTCAAGATCAGACCGTTTAATACACAAGAGAAATTTTGAAAAAACAAACCCAACCCAAAACAGAACCCCAAGAGACACATCTCAGAGACACGTCACCTTTTTACGATTGGAAAAGACTAAATGAGTATGGCTCCTTTGGGAGAGTTGACAAGAAAAAGCACCTTTTCTCTAAAAAGAACATGGCAGCATGGCTTAGGTTTGTGACTTCTGGAGCGGTATCCTTTGGACAGACAAGATGGAGATGTTTGGCCATAATGCTGTTGAAAATTATGAAATGACCAAAACTGGGTCATCCAAGAGGACAATGATCCCCAGAACATGAGCAGATTTCCAATAGAATGGCTGAATAAGAAATGAAGTTGGCCCAGTCAAAGTGCAGACCTCAACCTGACTGAAATGCACAATCTCAGTGAACTGAAATAATGCTGTGAACAACAGGGAGCCAAAAATCCTCCACAATGATGTGAGATAAAAACAGTCATTTAAAGTTATTGCTGCTAAAGGTAGCTCTAAAGGCTACCGATTAATTCGATGTACTTAGTTTTTCACACACTGTTACTCCTCTGAAAATGTACAGATAGTATTATTTCTCCCTGAAGGAAAATCTAAATTCTGTATTAGTAGCAAACAAAGTAGCAAATTACAAATATTTATATTACATATAATTATATATATTACATATATAATTGTTTGCTTCATTTAGTACTTGCTGAATCTTATTCCTATGTCTAGTTTTGGGCCTGTGTCACCATTCTGGTGCTGTAGTTTGAGTTCTTTACTCTCCTTGAATGCACAGGCTGGCTAAAGCTAGCTGAGGCCTTTGACAAGCCTTCTTAACAGAAGTGCTGTGGTCTTTATGCATTCAGAGGCATGATGAGGGCTAGCAGAGGTTGACAGTTGAGGTTGCATGTCAGAAAGCCACCACGCACTCATATTGTATTCCTCTCACTGTAGCTGTTCTTCACCTCACTGCAGAGCCTGTCAAGTTGAGACCCAAGGTAAGACCCGGTCTGTTTCCCTTCTGTGACTTAGACACTTAAGCTAACATAATTATGGAGACAGATGAACACAAAAGCACTCTCATCTATGGACAGATATAAGTGACAAAGGATTTTGTGCCCATGTAAACCATTGATATTCCAGTGAGTTGGTCATACTAGTGAACAGTTTGCACTTGTTAAGTTGATAAAAAAAGATGTTGGTGTACAAATGTCAACTCCCTTTTGAAAACTTTGCTTAAGTGGTAATTTTATTGTTCCTCGTCTTGCTGCAACATTACACTGATTTAAAGACTCTCCTTAATTGAAAGACTTGTACAGAGTGTAGCGCCTATAATTTGAATGAAATACAAGGCAGAGCACTAGCATGTAACAGCTGTCCAATCACAGCAGCTGGTGTATCTCGCCAGTTTAGTCTTTATTGACTATTTAGATGGCAGTCTTTATGTGTCAACTTTGAAACAGAGCCTCAATTAAAAAGTATAGGAGTCCATAGCTAAATCTGTGGCACGTAACAGCCAACTGTTTATGCAGAAAATCCTCAAAAATATCCTTAAATGGCCAAGTTTCATTCTCCTTCATCAACTGCAATTGCAGAATAAAGACATTGTCTGCAAATTATGTGAACACAATCTATTGTAGTCATAACAAGGATAAAATAATACAATATCTATGTGTTTTAAAGTTTTTATTTGGTTATTATACTAAAAAGATGAAACCTTAACAATTTACTCTTGATTTCCATCTTTAACTTTTCATATTGTTTAACTAACCACCTTAAAAATAGAACACTCACAGAATTATGTATTAAGAATGTGACTCACTGTGCAGATCAGGCTGATCCTACACGGGGAGTAAGAAACCTCTACCTCTATATTTATCAATCTTTTCCTTCCTCCATATTTCTTTCTTCCTTTCTTGGTTTCATGCTGTTTTCTCTCTCTTGCATCTTGCTTTCTCTTTCCATTCACAGGACAACCCAACACCAGCGGACCCAGGTCAGTATGGCTTGACCACTTTTGTGAACCTGCTAAGGGCTTTACGTGGTACCTCTTAAGCTTCTTTCATCTCACTTCTGTAGCAAAACAGAAATGCAGACAGGATGAAAAGGAGATGGTTAGTCACAGGCCAGAGTGAGTTTTGTAACAGATAGAGGGGGGTTTAAAGCTAACCCTTCAATGCTGTGATTCGTTTTTGATCACATATTACTCAGCTGAAATGCTTCTTTTTTTGGCCACATAAAATCCTCAAGATTCTTCCTTAGAAATGCACTTCTGCACAAATACTCAAATCTCTTTTGCTCACATACATGCAGTGTTTAAAGGGAGGTAATGAACAGCAACAGTTTCCTCTTGACAAATATACTTAAGCAAGAATAACCAATGAATAATAGAATGCAGAAGAAATCCTTAACCAGACCACAGAAACCTCTTTCTCACTTCATGCCGCGATGCTTAAACTCTAGACAGCACCGAGATGAATTGGTGTGGGTGGAATCATTATGAGAACCATGGCAGGAGAAATGTCGGCAGAAAAACACTTCCAGCAGTCTATATGCCTCAGCCTCAACTGCTGAGCTGTGCCTTTGTGATAAATCAATTTCCATAAGGGCCTTTATGAGAAAGACATCTGTGCTTATTGTTCTTATTAAAAACATGAATGTGAGATATTCCATTCATCTGAGGTCACAGCCAGCTAATAGTTTCCCCAGGCTGGTTTGCAAGGCAGTTGTGGCTGGAAGGGAGATGCGTCTGAGAAGTCTAGATGTGTGAGTCAGGAGAGAGTAAGTGGCTGTGTCTTTTAAGTTGGCAGGGGTATTTAGTCTTAGCCTTAGCCCCGTGCTCATGGCTGTATTTGTCTGCCATGCCGTGGAATGATTGGTACTGAGCCATTCAGGAATCAAAGAGATGAATTTCCTGCAATGGCAAATTGTTGCTTTTGAGAATAGTGACAGTATGATGGTTTAGGCTGTTATCAAAATTGACAGAATCCACTGTCATCAATTGTGCAGTTATGCACCTGTTACACATCAGGTTAGAGAATGTGCTTAAACCTTCAGGGTAAGAAGAATACAGGAAATTTATTTTGGGCATGTAAGTAGTGGTGAAAGTGGATAAAATGATGGAATGGGTGGTTCACTTGAATTTCCCAAAAAAGGTGTATTTTCTCATATCTTTCACTGCATAGCCCAGGTCTGCTTGTTGAGCAATCAACCAAAAGCACCTTTTTCATGAAATTTCTCGGTCATGTAGCTGCACTATTTATATCCCTTAAATAAAATGAATGATCACAATGTATTAGTTCTCTATGTTGCTCAAAAAAGTCACACATAAATGTTTCTAATTTTGAGTGTTAATGTCTTTACGCTCCCTGTCTGCTAGGTTTGCCCAGGATGGTTGTGATCAGAGACTACAGTGGCATCCCCTCTTCTCAGTGTGGGCCTCCACTGAGTATTCACGTGGGGGATATCATTGAACTGATGTTTGCCGACTTGCACAGCTCTTGGTGGCAGGTGCGTGTCACTCAGCTCAACCTTGTTTTATCTCAACATCTGTGACTCTATGAAAAAGTAACATGTTATGGCTGACTAGGGTTTGGTGTGGTGCACGAAATGTCTTTGCACTGTCAGGACTTTGAATCTGTGCTGTATGTTACGCCTTCCTTTAATGCTGGATGACTCCATTAGGTGACAGAAAAGCTTTCAAAAATGGAGATTAATGTGGTGACTCCAACAATTTATTTCCCTTTGGCCGCCGTTTGCTATAAATCACTTATTGCATTGTTGTTGTTCATCACATCGGGTGTCCTGTCAGGTGAGCCGCAAATGTGACAGTATGATGAGGTCAGCTCCAATTAAAAATATCAGCTGAAGATTTGTATGAGCTTCACTGGACCCCTGTTACATTACAAACGGGCTATTTGGCTGTTCTTTCACTCTTTAGATTGAATTAGAGGCTACATCAGATGATCTAACCAATTAGTGGCTCCACTTGATTAATTGACTGCCACGGCGTAACAATAAAACAGCATACAGCTCAGGCTCTGGAGGATGTTCTAATGGTGGTGTGCAACCTCGGGGACCGGCACATTAACAACCATCTCACGAGGTCAGCCAGCGGTTGAGAGCATTTGACCTTTTCTATTTTGAAGGGATGGCGATTTATCTGGGGTCTTCCGGCAGCCTCCTTAGCTTTTTCTCACTCTGCTTTATTTTGGTGCTAAAGCCTCATCCTTCTCCTCTGGTACAGGTCCAATTGTACTGCAGCCTTTGCCAACAGCGCAGCTGGAAGTAGGCAGTTAGCCTGATTTCCTGTGCTTCATGTTTCTCTCTGTTGTGACAGAGCACATAGTGGAGGGTGAGGACATGAATGCCATGAGACTTCATGTAAGCTGATAGAGCAGCGACCAGAATGTCATGCCACAGACCTGATGGCACTGCATTGTTTGCTACCATGGTAACCCTGCATGTTGGAAGGGGATGATCGCAGGAATTATCTGATAAAACACATTTGTGTATTCCTGAGCTCTGCATAATGATAATGTAAATAGCTTAACTAAAAGCTGTCCTGTTGACTTTATAACCAACAGTGGAGCAGTAGAGCAGTATTTGATAAGCGGATTCCTCATATGTTTGTATCATTTTTTTTTTCAGTGGTGTAAATATGAAGCTGGTTTCCACACATACACTGACACAGAGTTTTTTAAAGCACTCTATGAAAGCAGGGAGAAGTGGCTACACAAGCAGTTTCCAGGTTTATCAACACCTGCCTTATTGTAATCAACCTTATTGTAATACGACTGTACAAGTTTTCAAGTGGTGTGAATGGATGTTTCAAGAAATTCTTTTACGGAAGTTTATCATCTATCAGGACTGCGTAGATTCATTGGCATCCTGGTATTGGCAGCCTTCAGAAATTGAAAAGAAAGAAACTGGACTTCTTTAGGGGTTTTTTGCCTCTTATCCAAGAGGTTTCCTCAAAACAACTGATGGAGAGTCCCAGGTTAAAAACCCCTAGTGGGAGTTGGAGGTGGTTCTGAGGTTCTGAGGTGTGTTCTGTGAGCCAAGGTGTGAAAAAAGGCATGAGTCATTCCTGTCACCGGGGCTGACAGGTGAAACCACTGTAAGACATTGTCCCACTCCAACATCACATGAGCTATTGAGGTCACCTTAGGCATAGTGTGAATAGGGGTTGACGTACTTGGGAAGGGATCTGAGAACTGGGTTGCAGGTGGCTGATAGTTGGTGTCGTAAGCCATCACCTGTGTTCAATGCTGATCATTCACAGTGGATGTAGATGGCCTTTTTTTACTGTTCTTTCAACCCATCTGCCATCTTTGTCCATCTTTGTCCATCTTTACTCTGAGGTCACCTCTCTGCCACCTGAACTACGGCCACCCTAGCTGAAGTTTGTCCTGTTAAGGTGGCTTTCTTATGTTGTGCCATGCATTTGTGCAGTCCCTGTTTGGTTTCTGCTATGTAGACGTCCAAACACTCCTCACTGCACTCAGCTTATAAACTGTTTTTTACCCTGTGTTTGGGCGTTCTGTCCTTGGGATGAACCAGTTCATGTCTGAGGCTGTTGCTCGGTCATAAAAATGCACCATATTGTCACACTTGGAGAAAGTTTTTCTCTGACAAGCCTGCTACATAAGGGAGAGCAGATGAAATGAATGCTTGAACAAAATCTACACTGTAAAGAAGAATGGACCAAAATTCTTTCACAACAATGTGAGAAACTGATCAGTCACACAGAAATTATTATTTTGAGTTACTGCAGCTAAAGGTGGTTGTTTTGAATAATGATGTGGGCCTAGTTTTCCATGGGATAAACTTTTACCTCTGGGCCATTCTGGTTAGCTGGCATTCTGCATGCAGCAAGGATCAGTTGATTTCACATCATCTTTGCCACAGAAATTATTTTAAAACAATTTCACTTTTAACAACGCTCATTCATTTCAACACTATGATGATCAATTTAAAGAGTATTGCCTTTTATTCTCTTCTTCTTCTTCTTCTTCTTCTTCTTCTTCTTCTTGTTATTATTAACTATATAGCCTCAAAATGTTTATTTTTGCCTCTGTTACTTTTTACATTTGAAGAAGATGTCTATGATACCTATAATAAAAGAAGGAATAGAAGGTTTTGTTTTCAGTAAGTTTGTGAGGTCTTACGGTCACACACTACATTTTGGAAAGAAACCCTGAATCCTAACAAAGTCATGTTTGCTTACAATGAAAACTCCACAGGGTATCTTTAATCTCCAATGTCCCCAGTGGCGCCAGAGGATGGAATTACAGAACATTGAGAATTCATATCCCCTGTTACCCAGAAGGCAATTATCCCCCATCCCACTGGCAGAACAATACAATCAATCACTGTAATTTCATTTGATCCCTTGGCTCCTGCCTGTTTATGCCAACAGAGTAATAAGTTTAATCTTTATCATACGCTTATCGAAAGCATAACAAATAGAGAAGGGCTCTCAAAAAACCTTTGATGAAATGTTATTACCCAGAATGAATCATAGAGATGGGTAAAGATTTGCTTTCCAATCTAGTTACTTTCGGGGCTTGCACGGTCCCAAAAAGCATTTTACACTCTAATAAGGAGGAGTGAGAAGGAAAGCATAAATGGGGCAGGAAGGCGAATGAAGAGCTCCACATGCCTTCACCACTCAACGTCTTCTCAGATTGGCTCAATGGACTTCAAATTGACCTCTAACTTGGAACTGGAAACTCAGATTATCTTCAGCTTAATGCTGATGCATATTCTTATTACTGTCTGCCAGACAATGTACATAATAGAGAAACAAGGTTATACAATAAACTGAACAATCCAAGTAGAGACAAGTCTATGTAAAAAAAAAACAACAACAAGTAATTTGTTTGACCAAATTGGTTTATTTAACTGGAGAAGAAAAGTCTGTTACTCCATGTTTGCTGGAGGAATTAATGATTTCACATAAAGCCTGTTGCTTCAGGCGGGTTAGCTAAAATGCAATTGTGAGTCTTTAGCACCAACCCAAGAGCTCACGCTGTTTGGATATTCAAAGACCAGAATAAGATCCATTATTTAGTGTTAAACGAGGCTCTTGTTTTGATGCAGTACAAATCTAACTGCCGGCAGAGTTTGAACCATAATTAACTCGGGCTACAAATTAGATGCAGTGCTTGTTGTGTGCTAATTGCTGAGGATTTATTGAGGCAAGAGTGGGAGGGGAAGAGAAAAGGAAGAGAAGGAGAGAGAGAGAGGTGCAGTTCCTCCCAGACAAATATAATGCGATTAACAAGCGGTTGCCTTTGCAGGGCAAAAATCTGGCTACAAGCAAGATTGGCTTCTTTCCAAGCGATGCTGTGAGGCCTTGCCCGTGTGTAAGTGTGCATGTTTATTGTAATCAATAAGACAAATTTAGTATCATTACAATGCATTCAGTGTATTGATGTTTTGGCAGAAGAAAGTAGGTCTTTTTTTTTGCAGTTTTCTCACTGTAGAAGATGGATTTTAGCTATTAGATATACCTTGAATATCACATAAATGACCTCTACCCTCTGATCTGACTCAATCAAAACTCAAAATAACCACAATTATTTTTCTATGCCAGGTTCCAAAACCTGTCGATTATTCTGCCCAGCTCTGGTAAGTGGCAAAAATAAATGTCTAAGGATGGCCACAGTTCATTCTTACTCCAGATTATAGATAATGTTGGCTATACATTGTCTATGACAATGCATTGTGAGTGGATCAGTGTAATTACAGTAGCTGTTTATGGATGTTGAGGTTTGCAGGGCCTATGGAAAGATGCCAAGCTGAGGTCGCCCTCTTGGACCGGGAAAACAGCACGTATCTGATTCGGCACAGGAGTAAAGAGTGCACTGAATATGCAATCAGCATAAAGTAAGTGATATCTTGCTTTCTATTTATTTTCTCCAACATTTTTCACTCTTTTACCAAAAAATAAATAAATAAAAATGAAATAAACACAACACATGCAGTCAGCACCAGTCTTGTGGGCAAAAACACCTTCTTGTGAGAGACGGATGGTGGGAATAATTCAAGCAAACAAAATGCCCACATGCAAATAACTCAGAAAACAAACAATTCATCAAATGTTGAAGTAGATGGGCTGCAGCAGAAGGAGATCATGCTGTGTTCCAGTCATCACTGCAAAATAAGAAGTTGTAGTGACTATACAATCAACAACATCTAGTAACAGAAGATTGACAAAAAGAAAAAAAAATCATGTCTGGTCTAATGAGTCACAGTTTATACTGAAGTGCAAATGTTTGGAAAAGCAGTGTCGCTTCTAAAGGTCTAAAATGAGAAAAGAAACATTTCTTAGGGTTTGTTCTAGCAATATAAACCTATTTGGTCCAAGTTTTGAAGTGTCTGCTTTCAAACTAATTTTCTAACAAGCTTCTAAATATTGACAAAATAGTTGGGAGAAAACATACTGTTCCCAGCCCTCCTAGTATGTAAATGCATCAGTGCTGACTGCTGAGGTAGCTAATTTCCTAAGAGACCATCTTATCAACGAAAAAATTTCACTATTCTTGACACAAGCATCCAACAAATTAAAAATTCATTTTCACAGTGAAAAAAAAATCCTTCACCCAGCAAAAAGTGCCGCCGTTTGCTCTACAGGCGTGAAGAAATAAAACTGAATTCATTAAATCCTGTTGTTGCTTTGTTGGTTAAAATCTGAAGAGTTTCGTCTTGGGGGATTTTTCTATAACGCTGTCTCTCGCTGAAATGGATCCAGGGATGCATCTTGTTATAGTTTTACACAGTTACTTAATTTTGCACTTTAGTGCGTTTGTGGGTTAAATTTCATCAGTTTATTTCATGCAACAGTTATTATTCAAGGTTACGCTAAACTGCATTTGCCATTGTTGTGGTTTATTTTACAACTTTTCTATAAGGACAACAATTAATTAAACTTGGCCCTTCTCTAGTTATATAATTATAAATGGATATAATAAAATAATGTCAAGTTAGAGCTTACTGGTCTCTTAATTAGATTAATTAGAAATACAGTACTTGCAGTACTTAGAAATATTGGACTAGAGATAGATAAATGAGTAAATACAAAATAAAGCTTTCAAAATGATGATTTCATGTTGTAACGGAATAAAGCCATTCAAATCTATCTGCCCCTATGTGAAAAAGTAATTATCCACTAAATTTGCTGAGGGTGGCACAATCTGGAATCAAGTGTTTGCGATATCTGGCAATGAGTCTTTCACATCACTGTGGAGGAATTTTGGCCCACTCTTCTCTGTACATTTGTTTTAATTCAGTCACACTGCAGAGTTTTTTAACCATGAACGGCCTGTTTAACATCAAAACAAAGCCTTTCAATCTGATTTAAGTCTGGCCGCTCCAAAACCTCAATTCTTTTTTTTCTGCCATTCAAAGGTCAACTTGCTGGTGTGTTTTGAATCATTGTCCTGCTGCATAACCCAAGTGCGCCAGAGCTTCAAGGCACAAACTGATGGCCGGACATTGTCATTCAGGATTTTGTGTTAGAGAGTGGAATTCATGGTTTAAGTAATTAAAGCAAGCCGTGTCAGTCCTAAAGCAGCAAAGCAGCCATAGACCATCACATAACCACCATGTTTGACTATTGGTATAACATTGTTTTTAATAAATGCTGTATTAGTGTTATACCAGATGTAATGGGACCCAAACTTTCCAAAGTTGAACTTTTGTCTCATCAGTCCATAGAATATTTTCCCAAAAGTCATCAAGATGTTTTTCAGCAAATTTGAGTCGAACCTTAGTGTTTATATTGGTTCGTGGTGGAGTGGTTTTACCTTGAATCTCTCCAATGAATGCCATTTTCCCCAGCGTCTCCCTTATTGTTGAATCACAAAAACTTACTTCAACTGAGCCAAGCGAGGCTTGCAGTTATTGAGACGCTGTTCTTTCTGACCTTCTCGATGAGTCATCCATGTGCTCTTGGATTAATTTTGGTAGGCCTGCCACTCCTGGGAATGTTCACAATTCTTCCAGGTTTTCTCCATTTGTCGAATAATGGCTCACATTATAAGCTTAGAAATAGCTTTGTAACTCTTTTCCAGTGACTTTGTGTCTCAGATGTTTATTCAGGTTTGTGGCATGATGTGTTGCTTTTTTTTTTCTTTTTTCTTTTTTTTTTTTTATTAGATCTGTTAGCCTACTTCACTTTGTCAGACAGGTTCTATTTAAGTGAATCAGCAGGTGTAGGAGTAACCAGGCCTGGGTGTGGCTAATGAAATTGAACTCAGATTTAAAAAAAAAAAAACAGGTTAATCACAGTTATTTCATTATTTAACAAGGGGAGCAATTACTTTTTTGCATTTTTAACCAGGTAGGTTTGTATGGCTTTTTCCCCTTAATGAATGAAATCATCATTGAAAAGCTGCATTTTGTATTTGTACTCTGATTCTCTAAAGCCTGTAATTGTGACAATATAGAGTTAGATTAACAATGTTCCTTGAAAGACACATTTTTCACTGCTAAAGTACAAAATTCTCAAAACTTTTCTAGTTTTAGTTAAAAACATTTTTTGGTGAAGGAGACCTTGTCCGGCATTTGCACATCATGCCTAACATTTGTAGAAGTTCATTTTTGTTATTGTATGACAGTTATTCAACTGAATATAGCATGGGAAAGACGGGGAATCGTATAGTCTATTTCACCATCTGTCTCAGACGTATATTCAACAAAAACTTGATAGCGTTGCATCAGACTGTTTGATGCTCTTCAGTTATCAGTCTGTGTATTTCAAAAGATGGCTAGAAACACACTTGAGTTGTAGATAAAACATACTTCCCTTAAGGCCTCAACAAATGACTGCTTTATCTACAAGCGGAGTGCCTGCGTACTCCTCTTTTCAAATACAGCCCTGTCCATTTAACTAGTGAATACGTTTCAGGGCACATCAAAGCTTGTTCACTCTGTTAAAAAAGAAAGGACTATCGAGTCCCTCTGACCTGCCATGATGGCTCCAAGAGATTATAACAAGTGAGGGTGCACTCTGAAATAGTGTTTGGATGTTAAGACTATTCAGACTGTGACACACCATTCCAGCCCATTTGGTTTGGTGGACTCATACCGTTCCTCATTCAAAGCTTTGATGTACAGGGCCGGTTTCTGAACACTCCAATCCTAATTGCCTGTCTCAATGCTTAAGATCATTATCAGGATGGCCATTTGAGATAATGGAGCTTTACACAGAGAGCTGCTACTAATCAACTGGAACTGTCTGGTGTCAAACACTACAAGCGGTCAGTTTGTGTGTGTGCTGAATGCTGTTTGCATGTGTGTAACACCTTGGGAGCCTCTACGAGGGAAGGAAACATCTTGCCTTCACCAAACAGGGGTTATCTGTCTCTGTGTGTTAGGCACCCTATGACTGCAAATCAGTAACATGTTACTTACAGTAAAGTCATACATTCAGTACATCCATACAGTCGTACATGCAACTTGAAAATATTCTTTTCATTGGTTATACACTGCACTGAGAGATTTTCAGTCTGTCTTCGTATATCAAGGACATGTTAGATACAGCACAGTACAGGAAATGGCTCAAACTCCCAACTTACTTTCACTACCACTTCAAACACTCCTACATTAAAACATATAACTATATATAGTATTATAATCTCAAATAGATGCAGTGTTTTATTGAAATGTTTGCAAACATACATGGGAATACAGTCTACAAGGCAAAAAAAGGTTTGTCCAATTTTAACAAGCTAGAGACCACACTTATTCTTCAACAAAACCCGAACTATCATAGGCAGGCTTTCTTGTATATTCTTTAAGTAGTCTCCAGGAATAGTTGTCCATGCCTCTTGAAAGACATTTAAAGCTCTTCTTCTTCTTTTTACATCACATTAATGTTGAGGTCCAAGCCCCGGGGAGCCCAATCCATGGCAGATCACATTCAATTGTTGTTTTTTTTTATCCAGGTCTCCTTTTGCTGCATTGACAGTGTGTTCGGGGTTATTGTCATGCTAGAAGTTTATCAATCAGATACTTTCCAGATGGTATTACACACCGAATCAACATCTGACAATAGTTTCTACATTTATAATTTCATCACTTTTGTCAAGATCATCAAAATTTGACTTAAGTACAGCTCCAAGCCATGACTGTAGCATTTGTCCTCTGCCGTACTCTTTTCAGTACATACTGTATGATAACTATGCAGCAAAAATGTAAAGTTTTGATTCATCAGTCCATAAGACCTGGCCAGTGATTTTTCAGTCCAGTTCCTGTGTAATTTGCCATACTTCAGCCTGTTTCCTTTAATTGGGAAATGCTTCTTAACAGCTGCTCTTCGACTAAAATTCAATGCTATATGACTTAGTAAAAAATATACAAACAAAAAGCATTCCTCTGAAAGCGGTCAGGTTCAAAGACTGCACTGAAAATGAATGAATAAATGAACCTTGGACAACTGTTGAAAAATATATAAAAAAAAAAGAGAGAGATGGCTCAAGAATTTTGCACAGCACTGAGTGATGATTTAGTCGTTTAATTAAAAATATCACCCAATTGCAACTTATGTTTACAGTTAGTTGTAATGCAATTGTGCTAACTTTCAGTGTGGCAAACACACCAAGTCCATACAATCAGCAGCAGTAATTAGGCAACTCTATTGCAGAATTCACATTCCTTAGTAAAAAGAGGGCACGCTGTACTTTGGTATTATGGTGGCTGTCAAAAGCTGACACTCTTGTTATTCTGTCTATTTGTGACTGGCTGATTAGAAACTGTTATAGAGTATAATTTATGAGTAAAATAATTACTGTTGTCTAACCCTGAGCACAGTTGTGACACTGTGTCAGCTAATGTATTTAAAGCTGGGGTAGGCAACATATTTTTGGCAGCACTGAACACCAAACAAAGCCCCTGGCTTCATTTTTTAGTTTTTCTACATTTTTTTGTGAATTATAATAAAAGGATCAGTCTAATTCTAGCATAATTTTGACTATACGGTGCTTTGGTAAGAGATAGAAATTGGCTCAGCATAGTAACCAACTCTCAGCACAGACAGACCTTAGTGACAGTTCATCATAGAGACTGGACTGATACAGAAGCATGTCTACTTGATTAACAACCCATGTCTTATTCATCCTCCACAGGTTCAATGATAAAGTCAAGCACATTAAGATTCTGACCAAGGATGGAGGCTTTTACATCGCCGAGAGTCGGGTGTTCAAAACTGTGCTGGTAATGGCTTTATCTTTCTATGGATTTTTGCAGCCTACAATCTGCTATAGCATTAATAAGCATAATCATTTTGACTTTCCACTATTTTTGCAGACCTCTCTTGAGAAAAATGCAATTTCCATACAAGTAAAAATGTACTTTTTAAAATTAAAATTATATAACTTCCTTTTGTTTTATTTTGACATGTTTGTACCCACTTAGAAAGCCACAGGGACATGCTTTAAAGCTGTGGGTTTATATCGCAGCAGCTAATATTCAAATGTGCTTGCACTTGACATTGATGTAAAAAAAAATACATTGTCCATGGGGCAGCATACCACACTTTCTCTGTAATACTCTCTGTATTTGCATTGCTTGTACTGTCAAGAATAATGAGCAGCTAACCTTTCAACTTGTCCTTGCATTCACTTCTATAGACTTGTGCACTATACAGTCTGTATTTTTATGGCTTAGCGGTGCTTAGGGTACATTTTGTTTTCTTGTGTGGTTGACACAGGACTTGGTGGAATACTACCAACAGCACTCTCTAAAGGAGGGTTTCAGCAGTCTCGACACCACTCTACAGCACCCCTACAGGGAACAGCCCAATGGAAACGTGCCCACGGCCATTACCAAGGTCGGGAGTGGTAAGTCTGCTTTGCAAACATTCAGGTTCCTTTCCTGATGGTATCTGTATGACAGGCTGAAAAGCTCCAAGTTCAGATCAGAGCTTTATCCAGTTGTAGCTGAAAGATATTCTGAGCATTTGTTTTGACCTGTTTGGAGGACCAGAGGGTCAGACTTTTGCTACAAGAGACAAGGTCAGATAAAGCAAGGCGAGTAGTATTTTTTTTTTCCCTGGGAAGTTTAAACCTGTCTTTATGATGGATATAGTCAGTGGTCTATATTTCCCATGCCATCTCATAGACACAATAAAACACTCTAAACCCCAAAACCATTTGCTGGAATCAGTTTCTCACCTACTACACAGTTTCTTACATTACAGTCAAGACAGTGTACTATACACTCTTGCTTTATATATAAATAAAAACATGTTGACAAAGCAGTTGTTTCATTATTAGACACTTAAGTGTCTAATACCTCTGTCTTGATACCCAAGGCTGTCATATTCCTACCATTTGAGACATGTTAGAAACACTTAGTTCAGCATAATGAGCTAACATGATTCCCCTTGGAATAGCATAGCATAGACAGCAGCAGATTTATCTTCGAACCTCTTTTTTTTTTTTTGCTCTGTTGGTCTTCTCATGTCATTTAAGATTTAACTGCCTGATCGGTGTATTTAATAGTAATAATAATAATAATAAACTTTATTTATAAAGCACTCTTAAAAACCAAGGGTATACCAAGGTGCTTAACAAGTAAGATAGAGAATAGGAGGAGGATAATAGAAATAGGACCAAAGCAAGTGCTAAGTATGCCAGCAGGTAGCTGTCACTGATACATAGGAAAGCAACAGGTACAGAGCAAACAAGAATTTAAATGAGCATAAAAGTGCATAATATAAAATCATAAAAGAAATATTAACTAGAGGGAAAGGCAAGATTGAATAAAACTAAACTAAAAATAAGGGTTTTTAGTTGTGATTTGAACAGTGCAATGGAATCAGATGCGCGGAGGTCGAGAGGAAGGGTATTCCACAGTACCGGGGCAGCCAGAGCAAACGCACGGTCACCCCGGGACTTCAGCCGAGATCTGGGTTGTTGTTGTTCTAGCAGGAGTAGTAGTTTGAGAAGTTCACTAAGATAACTTGGCGCTAATTTATTAATAGTTTTGAATGTAAGGAGTAATATTTTAAATTGAATACGGTACTTTATGGGCAGCCAATGCAAGCTAGCTAGAACAGGAATAATATGGCAAAATTTCCTGGTACCAGTCAAGAGGCGGGCTGCTGCATTTTGGACTGTTTGCAGTCTAAGAAGAAGAGAAGAGGGAAGACCG